AAAGTGCTGGATGTTGTTGAACAGTGATTGAAATAACTAATTCATACTGAGTGTAATGTAAAGAAAGTATTAAATAGGCCATGAGATGACATAGAAATGAGGATGAATAAATTTAAATACAGGTAGGTCTATAGTATTATGAAGGTATTAAAAGGTAAAAGGTAAAGTTGTTCCTCTGCTCAACGAATTAAGCCCTACGCCATTAAGGCGTGTGGGGGAGTGGATGTATAGATCCAAATTTTCTTGACCTCGGCACTAGTTGGAGGTGAGTGGTCAGCTTCACGCCCCGGCCGCTTTACCCCCGGTACCCATTGGATAGGAGGTTGGATGGACCCCAGAGCCGGTCTGGACAATTTGGAGAAGTTAAAATTCTTGACCCTACCGGGACTCGAACTCCGACCCTTCACAGTCGTCCAGCCCGTATAATAAAATTTGGCTTAACCGGGTTTTCGATTAACCGTGACTTCCATCCCCACCATCAGCCCGGATAATCGAGAGTTGACTGTAATATATAATTATTTAAGCAATATGGTAGGTGGATTAAAGCTTTTTTAGTAAGAAACTTAAACTATCTGACAAAACAGGTTTTATGTGATTAAGCCTTTTTAAATTGTACATATTATTACTTGCATTTCTTATTATCAATTATACTCAATTTATCTTATATTGTCAATGTTTAGTTACAGCTATTATCATTAATTATACTAACATTCTAAACTATTCTTATATTATAATCTGGTTTTTAGATAACTGCTTCAATGCATAAGCAAGATTTGTACACAATATTTTGACTGAATTTTTCATTCTAAAATTGTCAATGTTTTTACTGTTTATAAGATCAATTCTTTTATGACTACTGTAAACCTTATCTACTAATAACTGTTTTTTTGACAGCTGCTTGATTGATAAGCAAGATGTGATTAAGCTACTTGACGATTTCTATATCTAACTGGTTGTTTTTCGACCTTGTAAAGATCTTATGGAATGTGAAAAAATGAATCAATATCCAAGAAGACTGTAACCCTAATATTCACTATGATGAGAACTTCTAATCTAAATCAAGTGTGAGTTTAATCCTGTCCATCTAGCTACAATAGCTATACAGATTGATACAGGAATACATACACCAACTTAGGGTCTAATGGCAACCTAGAATATATAGTGACTGGGTTCCATTACAGCAAGGAATATTCACTCTGTGTAACTGTCAAACTTACCAAGAACTACAAATGCCCTGCACCATGGACATTCATTAAATATTTTATACATATTTTAACTACCTGAGAATGAGAATAAATTGATAGAATTGTGTGAGAAATACAGTACATAATTGGCCACATTTGCTTTACGATCTTACAAAATTTCTTCTTCAGATCACTGATCAGATTCAAGCTCATTTCTTCTCCTACCTTCAAAACAGGAATGACTTAGTTATCACCAACACAAAAGACTTTGGTATCAACAGGTTAACAGGTGTTTTAAAAATATGCCCTCCATATTTTGAACCCCTCATATGAATCAGAAATAAAAACTTGAAAATTTTGATGAATATTCTTCATTATGTGTGATAGTTCTTTCTCTTCCTCTCTCCTATAATCAAACATTTAACATGTGAACTGGTAGAAAAGGAAAAACGAGTCTCAGTAAATATGGAATTTAGAATTTAATATATAGGATATATCTGATATTTGAGAAAGCTTTATTTTTCAGGATATAAACTGAAATGGTCTCAAACATAAACTTTTCAGAGGGATGTTAGTTATATCCATGAATGAATTTCTAAACACAAAGCATAAATTACAACATACGCAATGCCAGACGAATATTTGAGTATTCCAGGCCTCAACCTACAATAAATTACAAGAAGTTCTAACCACACTCTGACCAAAATTAATATAGTATATGCTGCAGTAATAACAATAAAGTAGCACAGTTATAGTGACATTAATAGGTCACAATTATTTTACCTAAGAAATGTCCTTTATGGTGATGTTTAAAACTGAACACTCTTACCTGTTTATCTTTTTGTATGAACTCCTTGAACCGCTTCATGCCAAGACGCGATAACTCTGCAGCACTCAGATCAGGGAATTCTTCTGCAAGAGTTTCTTTTTCTTTTTCATACCATTCAAAGAATGTGGGTAGTTTCTTGGTGAGAGTTTGTGCTGCAGGTACATCTGCTGATTTCAGTGCTGACAGTGTTGTCTGTTTAACCTGCTATGCAAACAGCATGCTGTTAGAAATCACAGTCACACACATCACCAAGCACTCATAAAAATGATCACAGACATACTTCACATTATCTTCATTGGTATTTGTGAATTCAAAAACAGAGTAAAAATATCACAATCCAGTCATAACATCATAAGATCCAGTACTCAAAAGAATACAGGTTCCAAGTAGCTATGTTAAATAAACATTTTGCATGAAAATGACAATAGCCAACAGCAGGGAGGATAAACATGTATTCTTGTTAAAACATAAATATTGCTATGCTTACCATAATCAGAATGGCACAGTATAAGAAAGTGCTCATTAGAATGAAACACAATGAAACTACAATAGTGAGTGCCTTATGTAGTATAATGAAGACTTAAATTATAGTGACAAAATTCAGTGGAACTGTTAATTTCCGTCCACTACACATGTTGAAAACTATCATAAAGATTGAGTGGTTTTGTCCGGTATGTTCACCATAACGAGTGTCTCCTAACAGCCGCCACTCTTTCCTATAACTTTTTTGCGCTGATTGCATTCCAGAACCTAACTGCAAGCAGCTTACCCTTTGCAAGTTTTAATCACTGACATATGTACTGTCATGTGTTTTAGTGACTACAGATGTGGTTTGGATTGGTAATTGGGTTTATAACCACTTACAGATCGTAACTATGAGTAATTATAAAACTATTGCTGATATTCACTTTACAAATAACTCCACACTAATCTTCTCAGTTTATTTCCACTAGTCTTCACTACTTGTTTCCTGGGAATGGAATTATAACACAGGAACTATAAAAGTCTCACTAAATACACATTCCCAATATCATTGTACTACAGCATATGTAAAGTTGCACGCTAAGTCTTCTTGGCACAGTCAAATTCCTTCATTCGACTGCTGACTCCCTGAATTCTGATCTACATTGACTGCCTTCAATTTTCTTGACTCTTCTGTACTCCCACAGCTTACAGCTACTCGCCTCAGAATTTGGCTCACTTATACAGATGCAGCATGGACCACATATCACGGAAAAGTTCCCATGTGATTGCTATCCAGCCAGTCCACTGGTGCACTGGCTTCAGCATGATTCTACAGAAAACATATGCCTGCCTTATTTTCCATTGCTGTGACATCATCGGGCATGCGTAAACATGCCTAGCACATACTGCATAGCAGCGGTCCATACGTGGACCACAGAAAATACTGCTTCTGTATTGTTGGCCGCATGTGTTGCGGGCATTGCCTGGCAGTGGGTTGATATGTCACAGTACATTAGTGTAGAAGAAATATGTTTAAGAAAATCTTCAGCATTTCAGTTCAGATAATGTTACTGACTACAGAACATTAAATTGTTTTCCATTATTTTCAAAACCGCAAGATACCCACTCCACAGAAGAAGAAATAGTGCAGTACATGCACTATTATTCAAGCTTTAGTGCCATATTGTATTATACACAATTGGAAATTAGGGCATGGGCTTGTAGTTACATATTTGAATGGTTTTGAATTCAATTTAATTTATTTCAAATTCAAAAATAGATATAGATATGGATATAGAATGAGTCACAGATCAAAAAAACAAGCATTCCATTCCCACAGGAAGTCAAGGCACTCATAATATAAAACAAAATAAAAGAACATATCAACCATATATACAACAAAACTCCCCCAGTATGGAACTCATGACTCATCTATTATTTAATAACAATCCAACACTTTAGGATGTGGAAAAGTCATATTAGATAATTAAGTAGCACAAAGAACTAAGTCAAGACATAAGAACAGAACCAGAATACAATTAATCTTACCGACTAGTATATACAAAAAATTCATCCACAGTATAAAATGGGTGACAACTCAAGAATTCTTTTAGTTTTAATTTAAACCGCTTAATATCTTTATATAATTGCTTCAAATTTAGTGGGAGACAATTGAATAGTTTGATGCCCATATAATATGAGCCTTTTTGATATAATGATAAACGAGTTGAGGGTTGATATAGATTTATGTTGAGTACCTGCCTAGTGTCTCTATTATGTATATCAGATACAAAATAATACTGATCCATGTTATCAACCATAAAAGACAGTAGTGAATAAATATACAAAAATGACAGAGTAAGAATTTTTAGAGTAGTGAATATCGTTTTACATGAGTCTCTATTACCAGCACCAGTTATTAGTCTCACTGCCCTCTTTTGCAAATGAAATACATTGCTGGCGTACGAAGAGTTACCCCCAAAAATAATGCCATATTGAATAATAGAATGAAAATAGGCATAATAAACCATCAGCAAAGTTTCCTGATTCACAAACGGTTTTATGACTTGGATTGCATAGCACACAGAGCTAAGTTTCAGGATAAGTGAGTCAATATGAGCTTTCCAAGTTAGAGTATTTGCAATATTAACCCCTAAGAACTTTAAACTGGTTGAGTTGGGTATTTCCATGTTATCATATACTATCTTCATCTCATGTTCATGCATATTTTTTGTATTAAACTTGACAAATTCAGTTTTGGAAAAGTTTAAGAACAATAAATTAGCATTAACCGTTCAGCGTGGTTTGACGTGTATGTTTCGTCAGGTATTTAAATCGTCTGGGGGGTTTCAACGTGTATGTTTCGTCCAGCTGCACACCTATGTTATAACGCCCATAATAATTGATGGTTTTGCTGTAGATTGTTAGATTTTTCGCTGGCCTGTTGTCAGGAGAACTGTATTTAATGACACACGAGTTTGAGAGCGCTAAGTCATCGTTACATATGCCTGTCTTGCAGCAAAGTTCCTGTGGCTATTGCGAGCAGTTTCTTCGGTCTACTGTTATGAATGGCGTGTTTTCTTTGCTCTGAAGTTATAAACAGCAGAGACGTGATATGTGCTGTGTTTATAATATCATATTGCCCTGAGCTGGCCACACTAACACACTCAATTGGAATTCTTAGAAGAGGGATGTCCAAACATTTATTCTTGCAAGATCGATTGATTTCGCACAGTACAAAGGCCCAGTTCTTAGAAAAACGCCACAATTTAAGGCAGAACACTGTGGGCACCCCCTGTGACGATTCGGGTGTGTGTGGGGGATGGAAAAGAACTCATTCCTTCATGTATTATCGCTCTAGTTGACTCCATTTTATCGTACTGACCTTGGTGGTCGTTTCGAGGGATGACCATAAATATTTTTTTGAGCCAGCTAATCTCTGCTTTCGCTCACTACATACCAGACAGTTCTTAGAATAACTTCATGAATTCTGTGGTCACCCCTACGACGTCTTATGCCGCCAAAATGGATGGAAAATGAAACGCAGAAGCACCAACACTTGTTATGATAACATAAAGGTTGAATTTACTGCAGCTAATCTGGCTAGCGATATGACTCATGGAGAGACATTAATTCTTGTATTCCCCCCTCGGGGAAGTAGGCAAGGCCTCACAGAAGATGTTTGGTTTACGGAAAAGAGAGCCAAATGAGAGATATGCAGTACTGGTGTGGTGAAGTGAGACAGCGCTGTGTATAGTAGAATGCTTCAATGCGTACCATACTCCGTTGCCGAGATACCAGGTGCTGATATTATAAGGCAAGGTTATAAAACCATCTTTTAAGATCATTTTAGTGAAAGTTTCATGCTTCAAGGCGTACCATTCACTGCTCAAATTCTAAACAAACTGCTTCCATTGCCGAGATACCGGCTGCTCATATTATAAGGTAAGGTTATAAAACCAC